TGTTATACCTAGGCACCATGTGATGACAATTCAGGCACTAACTGCTTAAATATCAAAACAGAATATTCAAAGTAAAGGCACGAAACTTACAATAGATGGAAGTGGTTTTCTCGGGTAGTCGTGTGTGTAGGTGGATTCGTATACTCCATTAGAATGAGTTGGGGGAAGTCTTTTTTCCTTAAAGAGAAGCAATATGAATACTGCTTAAGATATTTATCTGTCTAAAACTTGAAAAATAAGCATTGCGTAACAGTATAACCTGTTCGTAGCTTTTTATATCATAGATTATTAGCAAGCCGAATAAAAATACAACTGCCCAAAAAATAAGTAAATGCGATGCTAACTGTGCACGGCATTAAAAAACTATAGTCTGTTCGATTGTCTTCGTTTGGAACTTAACACATTTTATTTGTGGTCGTTTCTAAAGTAATAAAGAGAACGATTCAACATTTTATTTAGGGATGTGAAATTTTCTTGTACTAGAACTGGTGAGGAAAAAATTATTATATTGGCTTTTTTTACGAAACCGATTTTGATATAATCTTGATGTATGTTGGAAGAAACCCCTACAGCTTAACCTCATTCGCGTAAATGAGGGCCATTTTTATCAAGTGACAAACTGCATTTTCCGATCTTCAAAGTATCCTCTAACCTAACATACCTATACATTCAGGTACTTACAAACTTGAAGGAGCCTCGTCGATGAAACGCCACAAAATTGCTGCAAAATAAGAGCAAATGTGGGCATCTAGAGTGTAGCTCAATCATTAACAAACGACGGTTGTTTTTCCTTGAACATGCACGTGAGTTGTTGTATTAGGTAGTTTTAATAAGCGAATAAGCAAAAATAAGAGTGAGTTTTTCCAATCTTAAAGCCAAGAGGACAGCGCGAGTGCACCCAAACTTCCTAGGGCAGTCGTTTATAGGGCGAACGTTTAAACATCATTCTTGTAACAATTTGAACTTACTTGTTTGGGTAGTTGAAATTTACCGTAATCATGAAGGTAAGTTGTCTCGAGGAACCGAGGGTAATTCAGCATCTTCGGATCATGCAGTTTCAGTTTACGTGCAACAAAAGAGATTGCAACCGGTGTCATCACCTCAGTTTTGGGCTCCTTACCCTGTGCGGCTGCCATCTTCTCGAGAACACCTTTGCACATGGCGCCATACGACGTACCAAAATACCTCTACAGGAAGCGTAGGGATAGGTTAGTATGTGTGACCGGGAAACCTGGGCATTAGTGCTAAATTGCCGGTAGGTTGACTGAATAAGTGTGCGTTTCGGTGCGTGCCGAAAATCGAAGTCGAATGGTTCCGATTCACGAGCTCCGCTCCTGCCATCTTAATCAAAACTCATACGAGCAGGCTTAGTTACCAGGTCCCTGTTTTGACAGTTCGCGAATACTGTGGTTTGTTTGCTTCCATCATCTTCTGAGGTAAAAGATAATACCTGTAAAAAAGACCAACGCTAAAAGAATTATCAATAAAGAAAATTCATGTTCAGTATATAAGTTCACTCCTCCTGCAAATGGTGGTGTGTCAGTACCAGTTTATCTTTCGGAGGTCAAATGTATTGAAACGTGGAAATAAGGAATGCTGTAAAGATTTTCAATGCAAAGAAGACTGATAATGTAATGACGATGCTAATGTTTATTTGGAAGGGGTTTGGAGGTTTGGCGAATTTGGTTAATTTGGGCTGACCCAATTGTGAAAAACTCGAGGCGTTCGGCGGGGTATTCATATATATGAATATGAATATAGAAATTTGACGAAAGAAAAGTTCTTTTGATATAAAAAAATCGTATAGTCACAATTAAACCTGACCATTTTATTTGCATTCACTAGTTTAAATAGCTAGTAATTTTTTACATCCTAGGAACTTCAGTATTCTTTCGAAAATTCATTTTTCTAAACAAATTTGTATTTATTTGTACTAACCCTGTCAGCACACGGCCCCAGCGTAGGTGAGGCCCCAGACGGGGCCAGGCGGGGCAATTCGTGGCTAAGGGTTAACTTAATTTATTATAAAAAATTTTCGAAATCTATTTTTTGTCAAAAAA